CAGCGCGGGCCGGCGGCGGCGCCCTCAGCCACAGCCACCGCCACCGCCACAGCGGCGCTCCCGCTCTGAGCCCCACCGAGCCCCGTCCCCTGCCGGCACAGCCGCGCCGGGCCGGCACCGAGAACCGCGGGGGCTCAGCGGGGGATGCTAAACGCGCCCCGAGGCCGCGCAGCCTGCGAGGAGACCCCGCCTCCCGGCCGCCGCAGCGTCGGCCCCGCAGCGCAGCGCAGCGCGGCAGGAGAGGAGCGCCCGCCCGAGCGGGTGAGTCCCGCGGGTCCCACACGCGAGGGGCRGGAGGGGTGACCGGGCACGGGGGTGCGGGGTGGCGATGGAGACAGCGGGGGAACGAYGGGCTTTTGGGGTGTCGTACCGGCGCGGGTTCGTAGGGCTTGGAACGCGCCGAGGGTCTGTGAGGTGTGCGGGGAACACGCGGTGGCCCCGGGACGGAGCGAGCGGGGCCGGGAGTGAAAGCGGAACGGCGGGTCCGCGGGGACGGGAGCGCGGGGTGGCCCCGGCGGCATCCGGCTTCCGCTTCCTCCCGCCGGGACCCGCAGCGACACCGCAGCGACACCGCCGGGGCCCGGCACCGCTCCGCTCCGCTCCTCCGGCACCGCGGGGTTCGGCCGCTCGGGGTCCGGGTGGAGCGGCCCCATGCAAACCTCTCACTAACGCTGCGTTAAATAGGGCGGTGGAGTCCCGGGCGGATCTCTGTAGGTCAGCAAAGCATCTGGCTTCTTTTTTAAACAAAAAGAGCTTGTTAATCGAACAAGAGTTAGGCTGGAGAGCAGGGAAAGGTTCTTCTGTTCCAAGAGGGTGCTGTACTGCCCAGGCTCCCCAGGGAATGGTCCCGGCCCCGAGGCTGCCAGAGCTCCAGGAGCGTTCGGACAGCGCTGCCAGGGATGCTCAGGGTGGGATTGTTGGGGGGTCTGGATCAATGATCCCGGTGGGTCCCTCCCAACTCAGGATATTCTGTGATTCTTTGATACGTTTTTTCAAAATACTGACGTCTCGGCCTGTTCAGAGCATGTGCTGCTTAAAACTTGGTGAAGGTTGTGGACACCAGTCAGATGTGAGTTTGTGTTGGTTCTTGTTTYACGGGGTAAAATACACGTCAGGTTCTGTGTTAGATTCATGTTAGATTAATGTATGTTAGATCCTCTACAATGCTTTTGTAGAGAAACCTGTGTAACAAAGGTGGGTGCAGAGAGCCTGGAGCCCAGGTCGACAAGGTTTTCCCTCTTGTCTTGGTGGTGGACAGACTTTATAGTTTATGTTCTCTTTAAATARCTCAATAATCAAACGAATACATTTAAATAGCGTATAGTATATTATATACATACTATATGAATATATGCATAATACAGAATAACTTYATTTATAAATTAGAAATTATAATTAGAATACATTACATAATATAATACATTCTGTATAAAAATAACGAAACTATAATTTAAGTAAATGTGTCTTTAACTTYTTTTTTGCATTTTCAGTTGATTAGATTGAAATAGTCTCCCAGGGATCAAACAAGGACATGAACTTTCAGGAGARTGTGGATTAGGGTGTTTAAATATGTATACACAAGCCAATCTTTGTCCTGTACCTCCTGAAGCTCTAGTAACTTGACCTTATTTGTGATGTGTGTCAGACCAAAATTCAGGACGTGATGTGTGATCTTTAAGACTGCTGTGCTGCTGGATTGTTCTAAAGCATTTCAACATCTAAATAAGATGTTCTCTGACAAYGTATTGTTGCTATTTCTGGCTCTGAAATTCAGCTATTTGTGGATTTTTTTTTCTTTCTGGGCAGGTCTTAATCACAAATCCAGTGGGGGTTCTGGAAGAGTTTTAATTTTTGTGCTTGCTTGAGATTTAAATTGCAACTAAATGACATATTTCCTTTGGGAAGTTTTCATATCTAGTGTCAGAAGATGTGATCATAGTAAAAAAACATATTTTTTCACATAAAATTCCAGTAGTGTGATTGCTTGCCAGGTGTTTTAGACTGAATTCAGCTACCATGTTTTCTTTCTCTGGTTCGTACACAGCTGATAAGTTGTACTTTAGTAAAATGGGACTCAAGACTGTTACAGACATTCCTTCTGCAAAACTGATTTTGCTTTATATGGCAGAGATAACAACAAAATGATGATGTGTCTTCTTACAGTAATTGCTCTAAAATCCATGGTATGGTTTACATGTCCTTTGTAGGACCAATCTGATTTATTTGTATTATTTTTTCATATTTCAAATTATTAATGGCCTACCAATCCCATTTTTAAAGGAGAGCATTGTCTTTACTCTTTACCAAGTTCTTTGCCCAGCTGATTCAATGGGTCCTCATCAGTATTTATTTTAGCTGTTGTAAAGCCAGTAATTTTTTTCTTGCAGCTTACATGGGTATCCTGAGGCAGCAGCATGGAGTGGGATAYAGAATGTTTTAACCACAGCTTTGGGTTTTTTTTGTAGTCCTTCAGAGTGACTGAAAAACTATGGAAAACTTATCCCATAAATGAACTGCAWGTTTCTGTTGTTGCTTCTGCATGAACTGCAGTTCCCATTTTTTGTTCTAAGAATACAAATTGAAGGTCACTGCTGCTTAGGATTTAATTTCTGTGCAATTCTTTCTAGGATTTTTGTTTTCTTCCACACAGGTGTGGAAAAATGGCAAAGAGAATTGCAGAGAAGGAACTGACTGACCGAAACTGGGACCAGGAGGATGAAGCTGAAGAGGTAAAATAAAATGTGCATTAGTTCCCCCACTATGCACCCCTGCAGGTAGTAAAGTAGCTGTTTACATGTGCTGCGTATCTTGTGTGTAAAATCCACAGTAAAACTGGCTAAAAGTGTARCAATTAAAGATGATTTTATAAAAGAGGATTTAAAAAAAATATTTTTAATGAAGCTTCCAGTATTGCAGAGCATATGACAAAGCAGTTTTTAAGAGCRTTTTGAGAATTCCACTAATGATTCCACAATTTCCTCTTAAAGGTGGGAACATTCTCTGTGGCAAGTGAAGAGGTGCTGAAGAACAGAGCWATCAAAAAAGCAAAGCGCCGAAACGTTGGGTCAGAGGTAATGTAGTCATTGAATGTGACTGCTGGAGTTTTACTCAGTTCATAATACAACATCATGCCCAGGTKTTTGTTTGGGTTTGTAGTGGTGCTGAATGAATTTATCATTTCAGCTCACCAGCTTATATGTGCACATGAACTTTGGCTTTATTGTTCATGGCAAGAATAAAGCTAAGGCAAAAAAAGGGTCCTATTTGATGGGGTGAAAAGRGTGTTCTTGCATATTTTGAAGTAAAAATGAAGAGTGTTTTGACATTCCTTGTTATGAAATATTCCTTTGGCCAGTTCAGGTCACTGTCAGTTCAGCTCCCTCTCATCTCCTTGTGTCCTGTTCCCTGTCAGAGCATGAGACACTGAGAAGTTTTTGATTGCAGTGAGCACTGCTCAGCACCAGCCAAAACATCCTTGTGTTATCAACATTTTTCTCACCCTGAATCCAAACCACAGCTACTAGGGAGAAAATTAACCCCATCCCAGCCAAAATCAGGACAGTAGACTGGACAAAGTCTAAAAAGCAAAAGGTGACAGGACAGCTGAGGTTGCATAAGAAATCTGTGAAATATTTACAAAAAGGTAAACTTGAATCTTACTGATGTYCCTACATGGAGCAAGCAGATTGCTGCAGTGAAAAAGACTGCAGTGTAACTGGAATGTCCAGAGAGAAAGGTGGGACTAATCAGAGAGAGACAGAATAAAAATTGCTACCTAGGAATGAGAAGCAGGGGAGTGCACTGGAAAACACAGCACAAAAGGAAGCAAAAAGACCCATACCCACACTATGAGATATTAGAACACAGCCTAAAATTGACAAGCTTTGCCATTTCTTCAGTGGTAAAAGCACWTGAAACACAGAAACACTTCTCCTCTGATGCTTTTCCACAGACACTGAAAGTTCACTTCCAGTAGTAAGAGTTTGTTACCTCAAAAGACCTAAAAGTTTATTTGCATGTTAATCATACTTGGTCTTCTAGAAACATGTAAGAAATTATACCATAAAATAATACGGTTGCAAAGACATTGATTAGGACTGGGTAATGAAAAGGCTGCARAGATACATATTTTGTGATCAAGTACTGTCTGTTCTTTGCTTCTTCCATTAGTCACATTGGAATATTTTGGGTAAATCACAGAGGTTTCATAGGTGACTCCAGAGTGATGAGTGGATTGAAATATTGGGCTCYTGATTGCCATTGTAAATACTAAAAGTTGTTGAAAATAAACCTGAAATTACATAKTGCTGTGTAATTATTTAAAGAAAACAAGATGCTGTCAATGCCCAATAGGTAATATCCCCAGCTGTGAACAACCTCCATGTATCTGTATCCTTGACCCAGTTTATTTTCATACCAAACTTGTGAGTCTTTTGGAAACAGTAGCAATGTGTGTCATAAGGAAGCTGTTAATTTTSTTTGCATAGCTGACACAGTAATGCCTGGAATGACATGCTGAACTGGGGAAGAATAAAATAAACTGAGGATATCAGGAATATTAAGTGGGGATAGGATTTGTGTGGAAAAGATGTATTTAACTGRTTGTCTCTCTTCTTTTCTCTCCCCAGTCTGAAAGTGGAGGAGCTTTTAAAGGGTTTAAAGGCTTTATGTTGCCTTCTGGAAAAGGAGGAGGTGGCTTCAGTGGATTTGGGAATGGTGCAGGAATAAAGCCTTTGGAAGGGCTGTCTAATGGAAGCAGCAGTGTCTCCAGTACTCCTTCTTTCAGCAGTTTAAAGAGCACCTCTGAAACACAATCAGCATTTGGTAAGTTTAAAGTAAGCATACATAATTTCTCAACACCTTAGTCATAAGATCTAGGTAGGGTTATTTTAATAGTGAAAAAACAAATTCAAACCATCCTATATCTTGTGTTTTAAGGCTTTGAGACTTTATTCCTCTTTGTAAGATTTGTAAGGAGATTTTAGAGTGTTGGAGGGACAAGTTTTCAAATACGTGCAGTTTAAAGAGGTGATGACTGAATTCATATTTCTAAAACTGGAAGTAAACGTTTTGTAGGCACAAAGGGATATGGAAGGCACTGACATAAGGCAATCTGCAAAAGGTATAAAGCACCTGGTAATGTGTTTCATTTTTCAATTCTTTTAATTTAGTTTAAAAATACATGCTGCACAGCTAAACTCTTAATTTTTTTCCTGTATATCTGATGTTGCARACAGTCTTACTAGAATTTTATCTGCTACAGTTATACCTACATTTTAARACATTTTAAATACTTAGGCAAGTCAAGCTCTTATGCTTTGGAATTCCCTGAGGAATATTAGTTCTGTCCCTTTGTGCTGGAGATGCAGAAATGTTAACCYTGTCACAGAATTTTGATGTCACCATGCCATAGAGTAGAAATTGTTTGAAGTTTAGAGTAACTTAGATTTCGGTCAGTTTGAATAAATTACAGGAAACTGAAATATTCAATGAGGATTTTTCTAGTTTGCTTCTCAGGGTTTTTTTTGATACAGAAGTCATGCTCAAAAGTATGTAAAATCATGGGCTAGTGCACTCAGTGTTTTATACAAGTGGCAAGAATAGAGTCTTTTGATTTAATAAATGTTAAAGGTTTAATAAGTGTTGAAGRTTTTGGCTATATGTAAAATACAATTTTTTAAAATGTTTTGTACAAGATGTCTTTGGACTTCTTTTTTATACACCCATGTGCTCCATCTACCTTGTCTATCCCTAACTTAATCATCTAAACTTAAAACTTGGGTCTGCTCACTGTCATGGCAGTACTTGGGGCACAATGTGGTGACCCAAAAGAAGGAGCATCGCTGAGCAAGGATGAGTGATTTGATTTAAGAAATGCTGAGCAAGGATAAGTGATTTGATTAAGAAATGCTGAGCAAGGATGAGTGATTTGATTAAGAAATACTGAGCATGTTAGTTAGGCTTTTAAGAGAGCTCTGGTTTCTGGAGAAAAAAGAAAATTCTATCCACATTTCTTAGTAGGTCAGCAAAGCATTTGTTTTGTTTTGTTATTTTTTTAAACAAAAGCTTATTAACCAAACCAGAGTTAGGTTTGGTACCAGGAAGATTCTTCTGGCAGAGGGTGCTCAGGCTCTGAACAGGGAATGGGGACAGTSCCAGGGCTGCCAGAGCTCCAGGAGTGTTGTGACAACAGTGGGATTGTTGGGGTGTCCTGTGCAGGACTCGGTGATCCYTGGGGACCCCTTCCAACTCAGGATATTCTGTAGTACTGTGATTTTTCTTGTAACAGGATCCCCAGTGTCAAATGGTCCCAGTGGCTCTGTGTTTGCTGAGAAGAAGGCCGTGAGCCCCAGATCCAACGGTGGCAGCCAGCCCTGCTCATCCAGCAGCAGCTCGGGCACTGCACAGGGCTCCAGCTCCTACCACAAACAGCTGGCTGCTCTCAACTGCTCCGTGCGCGAYTGGATCGTCAAACACGTCAACTCCAACCCCCTGTGCGACCTCAGCCCCATCTTCAGGGACTACGAGCAGTATTTGGCAGGCATTGAGCAGCAGCACGGAGGCAGCAGTGACAGTGGATCTGAGAATGAAAGCAGCAAGACCTTTGGCTCGAGGGCTGTTCCTGCCTTTGGGAGTTCAAAGCTGCAGCAAGGCTCCACGTTTTTGTTTAACAACAAAACCGAGGATGTCTCGGACAAAAAACCTGAAGCTACRTCAGAAAAAAGAGACCCATCGTTAGGAGCTACATCAGCCGTCTCGTTTAATTTTGGCAAGAGTGTKGACAGTCCTGTTTTGGGCTCCCTTGGTTCAGGAACACTTAGTGGTTTCTCATTTTCTTCTGGGAATTCAGGTTTGTTTGGAAAAGACGTAAACCAAGCTAAGTCTCACGCTGCAGCATCCACCAGTTTATTGGAAGCTCAGACAGACGGTGGTAATAGTGATGACAAAGGTAAATTCTATCTATTTTTATTTATAGTTATTTTAATGGTCAGCTGTGAGTGTATGTGACGTAAAAATACTACAAAAATGCAATMTGAAGTTGAATGAGATCATGGCATGGTGTGGTTTAGGTTGGATATCAGAAAGGTTCTTCCCCCRGASGGTGCTGGGCACTGGAACAGCTCCCCAGGARTGGGCATGGCCCCAAGGCTGCCAGAGCTCCAGGARYGTTTGGACACCACTCTCAGGCACAGGCTGGGATTGTTGGGGTGTCTTTGCAGGGCAAGAGTTGGACTCTGAGATCCTGATGGGTCCTTGCCAGCTCGGGAAGTTCTGTGTTCTGTGTTTCTGTGATCATCAATATTGAATTTGAAAGTGCAGGATTATTCCACTAATTGGGAGAACACAGCCCCAAWTACGTGCTTACCAAGACTTACGTATTTCTGTCTATAATAAAATATCCTTTATCTGAGGAAGGACTTGAACTGATGAACTTTAAAGCAGCTGGAATGTTTATCTTTGAGCGTGCTGGATTTCTCAATCCCACTGCTTTACCTAGTAGGTTTATCAAGAGATCCCTSCAGTAAAAAGCACGAGATGCAGAACAATTTAGTCCATTTTACTTAATACATTGTAAGGTCAACAATGACAGCTTTACTCTGCACTTTGTGCTGGGTACAGTAGGCTGATGGAAATTCCAGTAGCTGAGGGGCTGGAAAGGCATAATCTGCCACTGTCTCTTGTTTGTCATTCCTGTAGCTAATTCCCTTCCCCCAAATTAAAGCTGGCTCTTGGAAGTATTTATTGTGCTTTACTTGAACCCCTTTGCAGAGTATRTTCTTAGAGATGTGAAAACTCTTTTCTGTTCAAACAAGATTTTTACTTAATAAGCTTTATACTTTTGGGGTTTGATTGTTTGGTATGGATTGGGTATTTTCATCTCACTGTAACTGAGGGTGAGGATGAAGCTGTTTTAAGGGGTGAATGAAAATCAAKTAACACTTTTTTCTGTAGCTGAAGCTGCTGCAGAGTTCACATGGACTGAGAGGTGTTCTGGCTATCACTGATGGGCYACAATTGTCCATGTCAACCAAGGTGGCTTAAGGGAGTTCTAATACAGTGCCAAAATCTGTGCTCACAGCATTAACATGTCAAAACTTTCTATTTAAAGGAGAAGAGGAGGAAGAAGAGCCACCAAAAGTCATTGTTAATGAGATAAAAGAAGATGATGCTTTCTACTCAAAGAAGTAAGTGACTTTAACTTGGAAAATCMAATTAATATCTGCATATTGCAATTCTTCACCACTGCCGTGCATAATTAATGACCTATTCCTGATTTCCTAATTAATAAAGTTTGTTAGGAATCCATGTAGAATATGAGCTTGTAAAAAAACTTACTTATAGGCAGGTATGTGTAAGATTTGACTRAAGTTCTTCTGTATCTTGGACACAACTTTTAAGAGTTTCTGTTGTATTTGTGATTACCTTTTTTACAAGTGAAGATGTTTCTGCCTTCATCAGGTTTTTAAAGTTAAAATTGCAAGGCCTGTACCACAGAAATCATGTACTGTACTGCTGGAAAATCCMCCAGGTGGATTTGCATAGCCTAAAATAAAACTCTTCAGCTGGGAAATGCTGATTATTGTATGAAGGAGTGAAGAAGTTGTGCTCTTAAGCTTAAAATGAAACTAGCTCTACTAGAAGCAGTTTTTCAAAGCATGTTCAGTAGTCCAAATAATTACCTGTCTGCTTGACACTCAGCACAGAATTTGTCCTGCTACAAAAACCCATTAGCTTTATCTGAAAGAAGGTATGTGCTAATTTATTAAATGGCATTAGGTTTATTAGAGCTTCACTTAAAAATGTTTAGAAATTGTACGTTAAAGTCCTATTATAACTTCAGAATGATACAGCAAGTTTTTATGGCTTTCTAATTAGTGCTTTTTAAAAGTAGCCTACATTTATTGCTCCTCACAGAGCCTGCATACAGGTTTCTGCCTTTTATTTTTCCCTGAGAGTGATTAATTTATCATTTCAATATTGAAAGAAATCATTCAGTTTCTCTTTGAACTGCAATWGCGGTCCATTAGCACATGAAACAATGTCAAGAACAATAAAGATTGATGTTACTCACAGCATGTTAACTCCTGATCATTGTCACTGTGAGTCAGATGGATACCTGTATTTGGGAGATATCTTTGTATTTCATCTCTACATGGCTGCACAAACAAGGATGTGGGATTTGTTTTATTTTTTTTCTCCACAGGTGCAAACTGTTCTACAAAAAGGATAATGAATTTAAAGAAAAAGGTGTAGGAACATTACACTTAAAACCAGCAGGAAATGAGAAAACTCAACTCTTAGTACGAGCAGATACCAATTTAGGTAAGTAAATTTCTTCCAGTAACAAGTCTTGATATCAAAATTCTCTAATGCTAAAGCATTAGGGTTTTTTTTTTTTCTTTTTTTTTTCCACAGCATAACAGACACAATTAGTGAAAACCTTTCTACTTTATTTTTTTTTCTAAATAATTTAAAATACTGACAAACACTTGTATGCCTCTAGTGAGCATCACAAAAGAGAGCACATGCAGCAGTGCAAGAAGTAAAAGGTTGTGGTGTATGTTACTACCTGTACTTGTGCTGTATTGCAGTAAAAGCTAGAAAATGGCTAATTGTAATTTTTTTCCCCTCGTATGCAGGAAATATACTGTTGAATGTTCTAATTCCACCTAAGATGCCATGTACAAGAACTGGAAAAAACAATGTTCTTATAGTTTGTGTTCCTAATCCACCGATCGATGAGAAGAATCCAGCTGTTCCTGTCACTATGCTAATAAGGGTGAAAACAAGTGAGGATGCAGATGAGTTGCACAAAATCTTACTGGAGAAAAAGGAGGCTTAAATAAGTTGCAGTCCATAATTTGAGGAATTATTGCCAAACTGCTGCTGCTCTTYTTTTCTTCCCTAACTTCACTTGAACATTTAATTCTTTACTTTGATATTAAGAACTGTTATAGGAATTCTGGAAAAATGATGTGAGGAAAAGCTAAACTAGCTAATAAAAGCTTTACTAGAACACAAGTGTTGGACTGTGCTCCCTCATTTTCAGTATGTAAATGCAGGACCTCTTCTGGATAAAGCACATGGAAGTAAATCCAAGCATGTTTTTAGCACCAGTCGACCAAATGGACAGAAATCTGAGTACAAAAACACGGTACCAGAGCTTCCTCACAGGCTRTGATACAATGCAACCACCTCCTGTTTTGAGAAGGGAGGATATTCAAGTTTACCTGTTGGGACTGTTTCTAGACTGCAGATTTTTCATTGATCTGTTGTATTCTGGTGAGAATGATTTTCAGACTCGGTGACTTTACTGCACCCCACCAGTGATGATCTATATTGTGCTGTGTCTGAACCTTTGCTTTCAGGACTCTGAGACTGCAGATATTTAAAAGAATTTGCTCGTGTAGTCTTGTTGACAGTAGCGGTTCCTAGAGAAGAACTGTCATTCCTGTTCTTACTGTAGCAACAAGCGAATGATGTGCAATATAGTACAAGCAGACAACTGGAAGAGTTTTATTTTGGACACACTTCCATCCCCTGGCTTCTGACAGGGCTGCAATTCCATGTGTTCCTTCCGAGGTGTTTGTCCCTAGTCCCGAAAGGATGTGCTGCACTGCTCCTGTGCTGCTGCTTTGCTGAAGAGAGCTCTTCCCACCAACAATCTTCTGGACTGCTGGAGCTCTTTGTGTGGCCCTTGGCGGGTGTCACATGGCCAAGGGTGTGTGTCAGTGTGGATTTTTCCATGTGGTGAAGCTCCAGTGCTGTGCTGCACTCATTAAATAACACAGCAGAGTGCAGCTTTGGCACGAGCTTTCTGTTGCATGTAGGGAGCACGGGGTACTCTGTAAACATAGTAAACTCAGTTTTTAGCTGTGTTAAAATTAACCAGGTGGCAATAATTTGTGGATCAGAACACTCATTCTGGTCTGGGTTTCCATCTCAGCTTTGTCAGACTGTTTGGTGGTTTACCCCTTTTCCTTTTTTCAAATGTTATTTCCTGGAAACTCCTTCCCTGGTAACTTTTTCTACTTCCAACTCTGGGACCTCTCCAAGAGCTTGATGTTAATGTGAAACTTGAACTGCTGTCAGATGTGACCAGCTCTGGCAGGATGGAACAAACGTGCCGCTTTGCCTCTGGCTGATGTGACACAGGAAAAACACCTTTCCTTAAAAAAAGGCACAGTGTGACACAATTCATACAGGGGACCTGGAAATGCAGCATCCTGTGGACAGGGAACAAGGAATATCACCAKTTGAGGAGGTGCAGCACATCTCACCTGCTCCCCTGCTATGGAAAATTGCTGCCTCTAGGCCTAATTCACTGCACAGTTCAGGTTATGGCCTTTTTTTCCCCTCTTGGTTAAAAGGAGGAAAATCTTGATTTTATCTATAGCCCTGTTGACCAAAGTTCCAAAATGCAGGCCTTTGCTCACATTTCAGCCACACTTAGTATACAGGAATTGCATTTTTAGTCCAACTGTGAAGGGAGCTGAGATGCCATTTGAGATATTTGAAAAATAAACTGGTGCCTTTTGGGGTTTCCTTTTGCATCTGGCTAAATACTTCAACCATTAAAAGTCAGTGACATTGCTTTCCTCAAAATAAGATGCTTTTTTATGAAAAAGTCKTGCTGCTACCTAAATTGGAGGCCCAAAGCTGACAGGGTGTATCTAAATGGGTATGAATGAAAAGCAGGATGTTGCCTAAATGTTTAGTCCAGGCTCTGGCCCAAGGGCTCAGTTAATTTTGCATTTGTTTTTTGACTGTAATATCTTAACCCTGTCTCTGTGCAGAAAGGTTTMTAGACAGAGCTCTGGTTGTGCAGCCCATGAAGAGCAGCTCTGTCTATAAAAGCTTAATTGCTTAATTCCAAAACCTTATGGATTTGGAACTSTTCCTTCCTCTATAGAAATGTGGACCAACAAACTGAATTTAACATTTCTTTCCTTATGCTTTGCCTCTGAAGAGGGGCAGTCGTGGTTTTGCACCACAGATGTGGCCCAGTTGTGACAGTACATCTTTGCCCTGTTTCCAAGGGGAGGGCAGAGTGAAAGGAAAAMTAAGTAGAATAGTAAGAAATTGTGTTGGGAAGATTGAACCTTACCATAGCCATGGTAGTAAGTAACACCTGAATTCTGTAGTGCATTTATTTGATTACTAAAGCCAGGGGAAGGTAAATAATTGGGATGTCACTTTCATTAGAATGTCAAATATATGCATAAACATACAATTTTGACCATTTTACATTGGGAAAAATGGCCTTTAAAAGAACAGGGAAGAATTTCCCTGCAAATGAGATTTTAATCAACATCAGTTCATGGTGACCCTACCATTTTGTGGACTATGAAGCAGGAAAAGTCAGTCACATGCTGACACACTTGGTGCTCAGGTATAAAGCACAGCCCTTCTCCAGCACTGTTAGAAATTTTTGATGATGCTTCAGTTTCTATTTAAGAAATATTAAAATACACAAATGCTGTAAAAGGCCAGAGATTGTTACACAGAAAAAAAAAAAGGCCTTAAATGAAAAAGCAAAGTTCGTGGAGAGCACAGACATCAGTGTACTGCTGCCTTYGTAACAAACTGGCACATGCTAAGCAAGGAAGGAATTTTGATCAGAATTGCAACTCGAGGCATTCCTGTGTCTTGGTAGATAATGTTTTTAACAGCTGGATCTTTAATATTGATATTACCTGATATTAAAGATGCARGTGTCTGCCCCAATCTGTGTTAATGCCTTTGCTGCTCCAGCTCTATGTAGACGTTGGAGTGTCTTACCCATTCCTCCTCCTCCTCTAATTTTGAAGTTTCAGCTGCTTAGAAATCTTTCCCTCTCACCTCCYGCATCCCCAAAACAGAAAATCAACATCTATTCTTTTAAATCTCAATAATTTCCAAGGGAAATTATTGCAGTTGGTTTGAATTGTATTTTTAAATACTAAATTGCAGTATGCAAGGTTTAGGTTTCTTTGGTTTTTTGATTTAGTTATTTTTGGTTTTTTTTTTTTTTTGGTAATGTACCCAAAATTACCTATTTGGGAGCATGACAGTGTGTTTCTTTAATCCCTTTTGATGAACGTGCAAGTTTAAATTAAATTTACAGTTCARTTGAACATACTGTAGAACATAAACGAATCAGGAGGTTTGCTTTGCTATTAAAACTTMAGTTCAGCTCCCTTTGCAGCACTGTAACATTTAAAATGTCGTTAGACACTTTCTTTCTGATGCCTTAACTTATTTGCATTTGATAAAATTTTGTAGCTGGTGCCTGTGTGCAGAGATTACCTGACATTAAACAATTTAAAGTGGCATGAGCTAGTCTAAATCCAATGAAAATGCTGAATGTGATGATTTATTAGTTAGTAGATTTCAAAATGCTCTGAATTTTTCAGTGGATACTTAAGTTTTACATAACGTGTATGTTAATGTTTTCATTAGTTCTGATACACTGAGGACGTGTACAAAAATCCATGGAAAATGTGAATAAATGAATGGGAGATGATTAATTTGTCTTGTATGAATCATTTTCGTTTTGTGTGTATAGCATCACATTAATAAAATGAATTGAACAGCCAGTTGCTTGCAGGTGAACTCCTGCCTGGAAAATCTTGCTACTGAAAGAGGGAATGTTCTGCCCTGCCCATTCCTGACTTGGAAACCTGGAGCCAGTTCAGGAAAATGATTCCTCCCTGCAAGGTCAGTGAGCTCGGAGCAAGAAACTGGGGCTGCTTTGGAAAACACAGGGAACACCAGTTCATGTGCAAACCCTCCACATGAATATGAAAGGATTTAGAAGCCACATAGTCTGGGTTTACCTGATGGCTCTGAATTTACTTTAGATCTTGCCTAGAGGCACGATCCTAAAGTCAGCCCAAAGTGATTCTTTTCTTCCTTGGTTTGTGACAAACCCTCTAGACTCAGTGCAGGCTCAAGGCATTCACTGTTTCCAGGAGGATTTAATGGTTCCACCAAGATTAAAGGCTGAGTGTTGGGACTTCAAAAAGTCTGCAGACCTTTAAGCTGCTTTTCCCGAATCTCCACAGCAATATTGCTCCAGCAGGAAAAGCAGAACTGTAATCACAACCACACTTTAATGTCTGGAGGAGATGGGAGCTGGAAGAGCAGGGGTGAGTCAGAACACATTGTGCAACACTAATTCATGACTCACCAGAATCWGCCGAATGTTGGCATAAACAGGTAAAGGAAAACATCAGTGCAGCTGGAACTAACATTTCCAGACAAAGCTTTTTTGCAGCATAGGTGCTCTCCACTGAGCTGTGCAGGAAAACTTGGCATTTTGGAAAATTATCAGCCAGCTCCACTCATTTCAACAGGGGTTTAAAACTGTATTCCATTTTCCTTTAAAGTGAATTCAGGAGTGTGCAGTTTAACTACCTGCACACTTATTATTCACACATTTATGTCATTACCTCAAGTTTCATCCATGGAACAGCCACCTACCTGGGTCCAAGGACTTCATCTTCTGCAGTGGAAAGGAAAGTACCTCMCACAAGTAAATCAGTAAATCCAATTTGTGCATACAAACCCTTCTACCTTGTCTGAACAGAAGAGTGGATCCTCTGCCTTGSTTTTCATACCATCACCTCATTAATCAACATTAACCCTACCAGGAAAAGCYAACTGGCTTGTCTTGGGGAAGAGTTTCCTGGCTTAACTAAGCATAAATTTATTTCCTACAATGAATTCAAGCTTGAGAGATTTCATACTTACCTTGTGAGGAACCAAGCTGGGGACAAAGTTTGAATGAATTTGTATTTTCTGTGATGTATTTTAATGTCTTCCTGAGGAGCATCAGTTCCTCCCACATTCTCATCTACACTGTTAATAGAAAATCAGACCCAGAGTCTTCCTGCATTTTACTCCTTTACTTTCTGCAAACTTTCAATTACAAGTTTCAGGAACAACGCACTTCTGAGAAGAGTACACAAGTAACTGTTTGCTAGTAAAGAAGCCTAGTTTTTCTTTAATCTCCAAAGTTGATTTTGTTTTGTAAAATCAGACCCAATGATAAACTTTTGTGCCGAGCAAAAGAAGGGTATTTCTTGGAAGGATCTCTCCAGGTGTGGMCAGGCAGGACACAACTCTCCAGGAAAAGAGTTTGTTTGTCCACCCAAAGCAGAGACACCACAGAGCAAGATATACTACAACACTATTAAACCCAYATTCATATTTTAGGATGTTCAAGAAATTAAGTTAGTAAAGTTGTGATGCCAAATTGRTTTTTTTGCCTTTTCCCTTTTATRTATTCTTTGTATTCTTTGCACGTATATATGTAGCCTATAATTGTACTCATCACTTGTTTTCCCAGTACATTTCCCTGGGCAGAAAGACAGAACCAGAGCTCCAAGCTGGGGGTACAAGGCCCCTATCCTATCTTGGTTCTTCCTGGGAACCAAGGAAGAAAGGCCAAAATCAGCTCTTCTAAACACATTTTTCTAAAGGAAGTTTAGCTCCCATCTGAGAGGGATGACCTAGAAAGGGGTTGAATCAGGGGAAATTACCTCACCTCTAATGTCTCTAATCGGTGATTTTTGTCAAATATGCCAATTTGCTAAACTTGTAAAACKATTCACCCCATGCTGAGGTGGGCATTTGGGCATTTTTCATATCTGCCCCTTGGAGGCCTCCAACAAAGACCATAYATTATACTACCTCCTAYACTAATATTATCTCAAAAGTGTGTTATTTTATTTCTAAGTTCTTTCAGGMATCAGTTGGGAAAGCTTTTTAAATATCTACATGGCACTCTTCAGTCCCCTCAGCATCTGAATAAAAACCAAACTCACAACCAGCAAACCTTCTCCTGTCCAAACTCCTGGATGATGAACGAAGCAGGGGAGGTTTGTTACCACCACTCATGAGGGTCTGCTGCTCTTTACCTTTTGTATTGATTTAAAAAACGCCTCTCCATTTTGGCTGCTTCTGAAACCTGTCAAAGCAGTCAAGGAAAAAAAGAAATCAAGATTTTGTTTCAAAGCCATATTTTAGTATTTTCCAACTAGCTAAGATTCCAGCCCAGCYGCATGTGCAGTCACAGAGCAACACTGCAGAGTCTGCTCAAAAATCTACGTACAGAATGAGACATGAGATATCCTGYTCTTCCTAAGCTCTGTGTTTTAATTCTCACCAATACCCCCACACTTAGGAGAGATGTTGTTACCTACCACATGGATTCATAAAACATCCTGGTCTGGGATTCTTTGAAATGGAATCATCAGCACATCAACTCACAGACACAGCTGGTAACATTTGCTCAAGGAGTGTTTTATTTTAACTAATTTAAACAGAAAAATCCCCTGAAGGTTTCTTCGACTGTGAAATATTAGTCACAAAAATCAAGTGAAGAGGGAGGAATCRGTGCCTTGCATGTCTTTAAATCTAGGCAGAAAACTGCCAGTACACACAATTTAAGGGAGTGTAAGTGCAGATGTAAACACAATCTCATTTTTGTGACAATGCACAAACCCTCACTGAAGCTCTTCCTGAATTAATCAGGAAGAACCATTACAGCCTACAGCCCTCACTATTATACACTGCACAAACATAATCCAGTTTAGAGCAAACCCCAGATCAGTTCAGAAGGGCTGTTCTAAAGGCCAAAAAGCTTTTGTAAACCAATTCAGGACTACCCTGATTTTCACCTTCTTCCCCCTTATCCAGTGTCAAGATGTCAGGGACTGATCACTGAGAGGTTCAGCAGCAGAATCAGAAGTTGGGCTTTGCTCCAAGGGGAATAAGAACCAGGAGCAATGAGGCCACTGTGCCCCATGAGTGTCCCTCTGGCAATGGATGCACACAGAGCACCATTCCACCCCTGGTGCCTGCCACCAGGAAGGAATGCATCCAAACTCCAACACCACCAGGCACAGCAGAGAGAAAACACCACTAGCAGAAGTCATGGTCATTAAAGAGGTCTGTTTATTGGCTGCAGGGTCCAACACTTTCTTCACTGCTGCCATAAGCAAAGTCAACTCAATTTTTGGTGCACAACGTTCTCCTCGCTCTTTGTTCAAATGGCTCAGTACAGTGCCAGCACGATTTTCAACCCATCACCGTTTAAGCAACACTGATGATTGATGAGGCAAATAAAACCCAAACCATGCAACATGTGTTAGGCTGATAAAATTAGGCTGAGAATATTTATATATTTACACAGAGAACGTTCAACATTGCAACCTGCTTGCAGACTTGTATTATCTGGACCAAGTATCCAAACAGCTACATTCTGGTGTAAAATACTCTTTTGCTTAAGGTTTGGTATAAAAGCCATGTACTTCACAATGCCTGTAACTGGATTCTACCACACTTCTTTTTGACACAGAATTTCTATACACCAGCACCACACACTCAGTCTTACACCGCAGAACATGGTAAGGCATTTGCAGACATCTGATTGCTGTGACCAAAGGAAATCCATTTTCCAGAACTTTCAGCCATGACCTTTGGAAACCATGAGAGTCTTTCAAACACAAAGGGTGAGTCCATAAGAGACACGTTGTTCTTCCTAGGACTATAAACTTGACATTTCTTGATGCTGCTACACACAACACATATAGAATTTAAGATTAATAAATTATTTTCCTAAATAAAAATTTGTTCTTAAACCCCACTGGGTAACAACAGGGCTTAGGCACTTCTGAAGATTTTATCTTAYATCTGTCTTTAATATGGAAGCTTCAGACTACAAAATATACAAGCAATCATCTTGAAAGGGAAAAATTAATGATGGGCAAGAAGCAGGTCAATAGTCTAAGAGTGCAGTCCATTTCCCTGGACTCCACATCCATACAGAACTTAAGTGACCAGATGGGATTCTGAACAAAGGTCTGCTGGAAGAAATCTGTCTGCAGAGCCAAGGACTTCCCTGTCTAMATTATGAACATATTTTGGGAAAAAACATATTACTGGCTGTGAAAAGCCAGCTGTGCAAACAATTCTCCTTTTCTGGAGAGCACACCATACCCAGAAATAGAAAACCAAGTAACAGCAATCCAGAGCCCAATATGCCCAAGCCTTGCAAATAATGACRACCAGGAGCATAAAAAGAAAAGGAACAGGGACCTACACAAACTGCATTAGCCAAGACAGCTGAAAGACTCAAAACATTTCTAAAAGCAACTTCTTTTAAAAGGAAATTYGGAATCCACCTTGTCCTGGCTGGCAGTAAGAGAACATAATTTCACATACATGGTGGTCTCTRAGGCAGAGCAATAATCAACTAACACATAATAATTGATTTAAGAGCTTTCTTTAAAAAAATCTCTTTATGCTGGTTCAACTGAGAGCAGTGAAAAACTTGTTATGGGTGAAATTATTCACATCCTTGTATCTGACATGTACCAATATACAACATCAATGAAGAGCTTGAGTGGTAAGCCTTGATCTCCAGAGGGAGTGAATGGACAGAAGGATGGAAAGAGTTAACGGAGCAATGAGGTATGGTGACATTCCAAAAACAAATAAAGCTGTTTTGCAGAGTTTCCCAAATTTGTTAACTGTGCTGCATCTTCAAACATCAGCATAACTAATGAAACCCACTGTGCTCCAACCGTTAGGACACTGGCAGCCAAAGAGCCTTCATGGCACTGCAGGACACACCAGCTCCATCTGCAGCAACTACTTCAGTTTACTGCTTAGGAGCTACAGAATTAAACCCCCTCCAAATTAATAGGGTGAGAAGTGCTTATTAACATTCCCTTTTCTTTTTTGGTGTAGTGCAATAGCATGCTAAGAGTCCAGCTGTGCCATTCTGACCCAAACAAAACTTCGATCAAATTCCCTGTCAATCTGTCCACACAAGGACAACAAATTACAATTTTCAGTGTTTGTTTAAAAGCAAAACAAAATGTGGAATTTGATAACAGAAAGCAGGAACCACTGGCTACACATAAGAAGTCCAAGACAGCTGTTTTAGAGAAGGAATGACTGAGAATCTGGCACATCTTTGCTTCCAAAAAGTACTATTGACATTCAGTAGACTTTTTGACCTCTATTTTCCATGGATGTCCATGAGGGCATACTTGTAGTCCTTTTCTACTAGAAAAGGTGAGTCTTCAAGGTATCTATAACATATCCCACAAGCAAGATACAAGAAATAAATTTACTTCTTTTAGGACTTTACAGCCCTTCAAACACTAGACACCAAAATCCACCCACATACATGTAACAAAGCAGACAACATCTCCTGAAAAACAGATGTAGGATCTGAACTGTACCTTCCWTAGCACTGCTTTTAAACTAATGCACTAGCTTAGAATCATTCCTCATTTGCTCTGAAATCTTACACAGCAAGATTTTCTCAGTCTTACAAATCACACAAAATTAAGCCACCTAAACATAACACACAACACCAAGAGAGCATTACAAATTCCTATCCACTGAGAAGTGTTCAGGCACCTACCACTGGGCTTCCTATCTGGATACACTTCCTTTTTACATTGTTCCTCTGGCTGCCTGACTGAAAAGGTATCAATTGTCATGATCAGTACAAATGTGAATCCTCTCTCCCTTCCCTTCCCTTCCCTTCCCAATGAATACTTAAAGGAAAACCAAGCACTGATTTGCCCAGTCCAGCACTAAGAACCACAGAATAAGGAGCACATTGAGAGGCTTGTTTTCTAGCTGAGGAGTGGTTTAATCCTCAGCATGGGCAAAGAGAGAATATTTGTACTGACTGATGCCAGGCACAGCACCTGCAGATCTCAGGTGCCCACCCAGGCTACCTGGCAAGTTCCTTGAGAGGGCACTTCAGCTGCTGAGTGAGTATTCCACAGTTTAGATGGTGGAAACACCCTCACATGCACASAGCCCCCAGGCAACATTCCAAGGTTGCAGCATGAAAAGTGGCTGTGCTGGTAATGACAAAGGCATTTTTCTAATGCCTTGCAACACATTTGAAGCCAACTGAAGACTGGTCAGCTGTCCCTGTCATACACTCATGCTGCCGGTGGAAGAAAGGCTGCCACACACACTGTGCTAAGGTGACAGCTTCCAGGCCTGGCCTCAAATACAGACAGACCTCCTTACCATGCTGGAGACATCAGGCTGGGCTCAATGACAAATTTGGTCTGCCTTTATGSTGAAGTGGAGCTATTTCCATGGAATCTAGCCTGAGGAAAAAAAGCAGAAAGTCCTATTTGAGAGGTTAAGTCATTGGATACTACTGTGAGAGTAACAACAAAGCACTTGGGAAAGACCAGGTATGAGAGAGACAAAGGTCCAGGCTCAGAGCACATGCCACAGCAACAGGTTTGGATGTTTCGAGTCTGAAAAGTGACAAAAATGGCATCTTTGCTCTCCCTGTCTGTGTKCTGGAGTCTTACATGCCCCAAGGGACACACCATCCCTCCCACTGYGGTCCTAAATAAACCCAAGTATGTATTGGCTCTCACATCAAAACAGCCAGAGCACAGTAATCWGCATTCACTTGTTTTGTTTTCAAATGTCAAGGACAGCAGTTCTGCCGTTTAGAGAGAGCTGCACGTCATGTGTAAACATAAGGCTGTTTTCCTGAGAGCTCCTGACACATCATTTTCAGAYCTCTCACTACGCAATTTTTAGTCACTTTTCAGAACAGAATTACGTTTCCATCTTTTGTATTTCACGAAAGCTCTCTGTGCTTCAGCATGTAACAACCAGAGCTGGAGAATCCAGGCAAGCTGCCCAAATCACAAAGCAGCTCCCGTGCCCTCCTTGGCTACAAGGGGACCACAAGGATGACTCTACAAACGCACAAGTCCAGCGCATGCAGGAGGATGTTGGTTCTAGTAAGGTTTTAGGCCTTTGGAGACCAATTATGGCCTCCTGTTTTTTCACTTTAGACTCAAACTGGTATTGATTCAGCTGAGAGAAAKATAAGCAGCATTAGTACTAGAGATGAACCTCGGCTTTACTGTAGCAGCACATTTTAGCCTTCTTTTCCCTGGCTCAATTTCCTAGCCAGTTCTTGAGGATGAAAATGTTGCTGTTCTTTGGTAGATACGGAAATCTGTCAGCAGAGTTCACCTGTCCTAACACTGACACATGAAAAATGAGAACATTTTCAGCCTCTTTTAAGCTCTGACCTGACCTGCTGCACATACCAAAATGTCAATGGAACTTTTTCCTTTCCTTAGCAGGAAGGTGCTCTCTCCCTGCTCCGTTACACACACACACACACACACACACACACACACACAGAGCCAATCAGACAAGGAGAGGGTATGGCCAGAGCCTATGGAACAATGTCCAATAGCAGGTCATTATGAAATTCTCACAATGTTTCTCCCAAAGAATATAAAGTTTAACACATTCTGTACATATTGTTGGCTTCTTAGTTATAAAGTAAACACAGTAGCAAACTGTCCATAAAGTGTTGACTTGGTTTAAACACAGCCCCTTCTYGTTTTATCTTGCTGAAAGTCCTTTTCCGGTCAGAAACACTCCAGCGATGTGGGCATTCGGTGTGTGACAGCAGAGGAAGGAAGAAAGAGGCACTTTTGATCGGCTGGTATTCCTGGACTTCCCTTTTTCCTGCGGAGGTCTATGTTCCTGACACTAGATGGTAGTGTTAGCACGGAAAACCGCTGTGGATAGGCACTTGGCAACAAGGCTCCAAGGCAGTGCCCGCTCTCTGCTATGTCATCAGGATTGGTTTCTGCCGCACTTCCAGGATATCTGGGCATGGGAGAGAAACAGACACAGCCAACTTAGGAGGCTCCTGAAAGCAGCCACAGCACCAGACAGCACGAAGAACTGGAGATGTAAGTGTGCCCTGCGGCACAGCACACCAGGAATCTAAAACGTGACAAGTACATGGCTTTGTCTGTTACAAAATGAGTTAACCGGGATGGAGCTGGCAGGAACTGAGAGATGAGGAACTGCAAATACATCCCATCATGTGGAGAGGACAACTGATCTACTATCATTTTTACCAGGATGAAGCAATGTAAGTTAGAGAAAGAGTGACAATATCTTCCAGGRTAACAAGTACCATTAACAAGAGATGCCAAGGGATTTCCCTTTCCTGAAGGGAGAATGCAACAACCCCAGACTCCTTAGGCAGACTTCTGTGGGTAACTCTTTCATCCATTCCATAGCCCAAAGCCTACATTTCTGCACTCAAAAAGTTGCCACAAAAACCACTCCTCTTTTTGGCTCCTCAACCCTGTATTGTCCAAGTGGGACARAATATGAACATGTAAAACTTTTGTTGTAATCATGGGCATCTTTCTAATATGTGCAATAAAACCAACATGGCAAGGTAGTTCCAGAAATATCTGGAAACTGGACTGTTGTGCCCTTTTCAAGGCTACACAAAGAACAAGGAACATAGGAAAAGGGAGCATGCAATTAAAAGGCTGATCAAACACAACTGCACAAAGAGGATGACATGAGCAAAAATTGATCCCCAGCTCCAAAAGTCTCCAGACACACCTGTAAAGAATTAAACACAGTGGWCGGAGTCSAGTGAAGGGCCACAGAGATGACTAAGGGACTGAATGATTTGACACAAGAGAAGAAGGTGACAGAAATGTGATTATCCAACATGGACAGAAGGGTCAGAGGAAAGTCTTATCAATCAACTCAAAACATTTTAAAAGATACTTTCATCATCGTCACTGGGATTTTAATATCATAGTACAGGTTTCCTGAACTACCCAAGAGAAATGAGCACTGCTCTCACTTCACCCTGCCCTACAAGTAACATTCCTGCTTCCTGGAAAGCTGCCACTGACACAATGCATTGATTGCACAAAGGCCTTGGAAACAGGGCCTACACAATGTGTCAAGCTAAAAAAAATGTGGGTAGGGTAAAACTGCAAATGAAAATTCTGCCTTACAGCCCAGACATTTCATGCCCTATTTCTGTGTATCTCAATATATACACCAATTCCTGCAACCCTATGTTCAATGAATTAAATCTTGGAAAGGATCTTCAAGCTCAAAGGCAATATTGGAGCGTGGAGGCATTTGTGCCACCATCTTGAGTGAGTATTAAATGCCAGCAGAAACAATAAATCTTCYGTGAATTCCAAAATGCCTGTGGTGTGAGAGTGAGCAAGCCTGGTAACTCCAGCTAATTCATAAGACTATCAACACAATGATCATAAGGAATAATTAGTATTTTAGTGAAACATCATTCAAAATCCATCCTTAATTACAAATGACCAATTTTTTTACTGGAATCTGTAATTCCTTCTAAATTGAAATCAATTCCTATTTACAGCAGCATTACAGAGAAATACTTCTTCCCCTGTCTTAAGAGCAGAATCCTCCACCATGGTAGGCCATGCAGAGTGCATGTCAAAATTCACCTGTTAAAATTCGATGCAATGGCAAAGTGATGTATGTTAAGTGTGCATAGAGTAGAAAGTTTTCATCTGTTCTGTTCAGCTTCAGCCACGAGCCCACCAGCGAGCGTCCTGTTCCAGACAGGGACCGCGAGCGCAGATTGGTCGCGTTGTGCAGATCTGCAGAGGCAGGAAGAGACAGAAGTACTTTATTGGAACACTTCTGAAACTCAAAAAAAAGAGGAAAGCCTCCTATTCATTGTTTAGAGACAAATCRTATGCAGGACACTATTATAACTGCTTTTTTTAAACCTAAGTTCACCACTTCCACTGATGCTAATAAATGGTAGCAGCAACAGCTGTTAAACAAGAGAGGAGAGGGCTTGTGCTCCCTCATAYACAAAATCATAGAAAAGCCCGAAAATTAAGTAGTTAYTCATCCAGAAATTCACCAGAGTAACAGCATAGAAATTGTTTCTTTTGAAGAAAAGTGACATTGAGAAATTCAGATATGGGGAGATTCAGCATTAATGCCCCAGTTTCCTGCACATGTTCATGCACACCCTGAGCTACACCTCGGACCCTTCAGCTGAGCCATTGTTCACAGAATTAATTTAGATGTCCCCTAAGCTAGTCTTGCTGATCTTTGTTACTTTGTTATTTCAGTATCTTTGCTACTTCAAACAGAACTTAYGATCTGGAAATCGCCTCTTTGTTATCTGTTAGAATGCTAGCAGATAGTTAGATTTGTTGACTGAATTGYTTTTAAACATATGAAAAGCAGTTTGGACACAGACATTTTTGAGTTTCCTGCCTCACAAAACTGTGATTTGATTGGGATTTGTATACTGTATTTGGAGTCAGGCTCCATTATTTTATCTTGCAGGTTGTTTCCTGGTGAGTAACTAGAATTTAAAGGAAGAGTTCCACAAGGCATTAAACTACTATACAAATTCATTAGGTTTTCTCTTTATAGAGCTCAGAACTGATTCAAAGTCAGTWGAAGTAAATGCAGTTTCACCAGTTTAACCAACTCTGGATCAAATCAGAATTCAAAGAACTTGTTGCTGAGAACATGCCCTGCCCCACTATATCTGGAAAAGTGCCCCCAGAGAGTGTGGCATCTGAGAAAGGGGGAGGATCTTGGCTGCTCCAGTTTCTTTCAAATGGGTCAATATAAAAGAAGTAAGTTTTAATATATTCAGGAATTGTGGGCTCCAGCCTTTGAAGAGATTCTTAAGCTTGTGAAAAATCTCATTTTCAGAGAGGCACTGGCCGTATGTGGAACTCTCATTTTTATACTCTGCAAACCTTCTTGAAAACCCTGCCTTTGCAGAGCTCTGTTCCCTCCCCACACAAGTCTGTTTAACTGTCAGTGCTTCTCTCACCTCCACCATCATCATCTCTGAAGAACTCCTCACTGTCATTTGCTGAATGGGACTTTTTCATCTCAGCAATTCGATTTCGGGGCACTTTTCTCTTGAGGGATGGGGAGAAGAAGGATGGGCGGTTGTTGCGTTCTGGGGTTGGTGGTGTGCTGAAAGAAGTGACCTGAAAGAGAAATACAAAATATGCTGAGAAAGTCTTGATTTTCCCTCCATSTGCCACAAGGCAGTCATACGTGTAAAAATCAGGATGATGACTGGTCCATTCTATCAAAGTGGCCAGAGAATTTCTCAGCTTCAAGGTGCTCATCAAGGGGAAAATATTTTGATATATTAGCACCCTTAACTGTTACATGAATAATGAAATGCCTCTCTACTCAGATGATCACTTTTAACAAAGATTTACAGTCATAAAGACACAAAATTAGTAACTTAAGCACAAAGAATGTCAATCTTATTTTTGCATGTTGAAATTCAGGAGACTTAATATGCTAAGAATGTATTGTAATTGAACATACTCAAATCATGCATCTTCATTTCTTTGGTACACACAAGGCAGCAGTTTCTGTGGAAGGTCAACATCCCTGGGGAGCCAAAGGTCACAAATTCCTGAGCCCAACATACTGAGGCAGAAGTGAAGCAAATGTTCAAGTTTATGTTTCAATAGTGGAAGGACAAAATGAAGCTTTGGTGCCTCTGATGTTTTGGTTAGTCCAAGTGATGGCAAATACAGGCATGGAAGTGTCTGTGGTGAAATTCAAGTTAGGGACAAAACTATGGAGACACCCTTCCTTCAGAGCAGTAGTTGCCACAGAGTAAACTACAAGTAAAGTCAAGTACATCTGTTTAGGAGAGAACTGAAATGTTTCATTTCAAAGGGAAAAAAAATTGGGACAACTACTTTGCTAATGGATGTGAGTAACTTTTTTCTTGTCCTTCCTTCTTCACACAGTCAATTTAAGAACCCCATAACTCTCCCTGAGCTGGCACCTGATACTGCTCATATCTGTCCAAAGAAATGCAGAGGGAGGTGACATGGAGTGATAAYTGCAGCCAAGCCAGATTGATGTTACGCTGCAGAAACACTCCATCATGTCCCTCTATCACTAATGTTAAAAAAAATAAAAGAAAGGCATTGTAACACMCAACTGATCCTCTCCCCAGCGCACTTCATTTCTAATTTGTGCTTGTCTCTGGTTGTAATTCTGGAATCATTTCATATCACACCACAGGGGGAACCAGAAACAGCCATATCACCATTAAAACCATTAGCAAAAGGCAGTGGTAATACATTATCAGGTCTAATCTGACATTTTCCAGCTGACACTGGAAGCCTTGGAGATAAAAGATCTTGTTGATCCTGCAGCCCTGCTTTCTTCAGGCTGTATTTCTGTGGTGGAGAGCAAGAACATCCASTTAATGAGYTCTGTGCTGGTAGCTCATRGTGGCTTTTACCAAAYCAGAAACAAAAAACCACACTGMCTGCATGGAAACCTCTAGAAGCAGTTCTGCAGATCTTTAAATTATACAGGTTACTCCCACTACACAGAAAACCAGGCTAGAATCCATCAGGTACTGACCCAGCTCAGGTCTGTGCAGGTATTTTGAACACATGTTGTGTTATCCCCACTAACCAGCTAAAATGTCTTAATGGAAAATAAGGCTCAGATTGAATAAAGGCCAAATCATCATCTACAGTCTGATTCTATTGGCATTTTATTGCATGTGCATTCAACTTAAGCATATGTATGAATATGATACTGCATCTGGATCTGTGATCTTTGCTTTAGCATTACACAGGCTTGACATTGGCAGTATTCCTCAGTGACAAAATACAGCACCACTTCCTGTGAGGTTTAGCAGGCAACCTATATAATACACAAATCCCACATTTCCAGGTAAATCGCATCTCACACAGAAATGGATTTTTTTTTATTGAAAACAGGCAGAATCATCAGTTTCCCTGGCATCAAGATTGCTGTTGTTTCAACAAAGCACTCCTCCACAAGWGTGATTCATCCAGTCATCTCTGTATTCAGCATTTGCTCAGGGCAAACTGTGCTAGAAAATCCATCTCATACACTGAGCACAACCAGATCACACAGAGGCAAACCCAAGTTCAGAACCTTGATGTGAGTTAACCCCAGCTTTAATCTGCCTCCTGGCTTTGAAACAAAGCATGTTCATGCTTCACCTTAAGTCAGTACTTCTGTCAGTACTTACTCTCTCATGCACTGGGGAGTCTGGGTTTGAATCCTCTTCTGTTCCATACGGTGAAGTGTCACCAGTGGAAACTCTACTCACTGCCATTTCCGCATGTCCTTTTCCCTGCGGTCCTTTCATTCGGACAAACTCCATGTTGTTGTATTTATAAAAGCCAAAAGACATTCTTTGAGCCATCTTAGCTGCAACACTCACCTACAATGCATCAAGACGGGAAAGAACATGTAATAACAGGTCTGCAACTTGAAAATAACATCCTCTGAAAGCAGTTATCTAAGAAAAAGTCAGATCCATAGTGGATAATAATTCCTAAGAAACATTTTAAGCCACAAATTGAAGTGATCTCCAAAAAGAAAGTAGTTTTACAGACATAAAAACAGGTTTTGGGAAGAACCAAGTCCTTCAGCCATCCAAAAGGCAGAGTTACCAATGGCACACTGAGAGAAAACAGGAGGTTTTTATCCAGACCCACACACTGTGGCACATGARAGCACAGGCAGGCACGTGCACAACTCACCGCAGCCTCTGTAGGGACATGTTTGAGTCCAAAAAGCAATAGACACGTACACACAAGATGCCTCAAACCAGCAAAGCACACCCCACAACTTGGTCATTACTTTGTGCCAAGTCATTTTGGACATTTTTATGTCCACGCTGWCAAGGCCAAAATTGAAGGAACCAGCCTCATGCACAACTAACCTGCACAGCATGGCTCACCGAGACACCCTGACAGCTTTAAACCCTCTCAACAGACACAAGGGCTCAATTTCCAGTCAGCACAACTGAACTGAAAATTGAACTGAGAACTGAAAAAAGGAACAAACCAATATGAAAACAGTCAAGATTTTGCTAATTGAGTAAGTAGGACTTAAGTTTAAGTAATTTATTGCAAATGTTATTAGTTTATGAAGAGGCTGAGATGCTCATCATCTTGCATTGTACTGAGAATTACAGAATCTTAAAATAATTTAGAAATTACCTTTAAGATCATTAAGTCCGACCATTAACCAAACACTGTCAAGCCCTCCACTAAGTTATGTCCTTAAGTGTCACATCTACACATCTGTTAAATATCTCAAGGATTGAGGACTCCACTTCCCTGGGCAGCCTCTTCCAGYGCTTGACAASTTTTCCATTAAAGGAATTTTTCCTAATATTCAATCTAAACCTTCCCTGAAACAACTGAAATCAAGTAATTTTCAAAAACATACAGTTTACTTCTGTTCTGTAAAAAGAATGGCCAAATTTCAACWTTTGCCTCTGGCCATAATGGAGTATTTGAAGGTAACAATTGTACTTCATTTAACAAAATCAAGTCAAGTAACTGTGGGGTCAGTAAGGACATTCCTAGGCTATGAGGCAACTTAACCACATCAAATCTTATCTTTCCACTGCAAGGCTTTCTTTTTTTCTTTCTTTCTTTCAGTGATTCTGCATTCCCATTTATTTTAATAACCCAGATACTGATCATGGCCACAACATGATGGTGTAGAGAAACAATTTTTGTTTCATGTTCTCTCAGAAACCTGATGAAAGTCTGTAACTGCTCACATTTAAAACAGGAAGAAAGGAAATTATCCAAGACCTCTCCTGACAAGGAAAGACACGAAGCAAAATTTGCAGACACAGCAGATGCTGTGGGAGGTTTTCTGTTTTGTTTCCAAAAATCCCTCACAATTGTTTTCACAATAAACCATTTGAGAAGTCTATTGACTCTTGATTTCAGCACTAACTACTGMATTGGAAGGTGAAAGTGCTGGTATTTCATGTTTCATGTAGAAAGCAAAGAAAGSTTCTCTCAGTAGCAGCAAGACTACAGGGGTCTTCTGAAAACAGCCATGAGTGCAAAATACARTGAAGAAAAATACACTTTATCAAAAGGTAGTTATCAGAGTTTAACATCTCCCATGAAATCATCTCTCTCTGAACACAGAAATATCTGTGATCTTTCAAGAAAATGTAGAGGCTCCAAGAACTGTTGTTCAGGTCCATTCTTGTGTCATGCCCTTGACTACTTATCCCTACCTTCCCTCCTTTTGGCCAACAGCAGAGGAATATATGCCAGTGTGAACACCCTCAATTGTCTGAGCCAAAAGCAGTAGCTTTCAGCTGACTTTCAAAGACAAATAGACAGACTATGATGCAGCTGATCTAATAGGACAAAAAGCTGACAGCCTCAGCCACAAAGAAAATCTAGTCAGATCACCATTGCTGCGAAGAACATTGTCTTTCAGAAGCTCCTTACCCTGTTGTCATAGACCTTCTTGAGTGCTTCATAGCGGATGGACCCCTGGAAAATCACCCCTTGGAAGGTGTTGCTTTTATCACTGGCCACCAGCTCCACACAGACCATTTCTCCTTCTCCCACAGTCATGTCACTGAAAACCTGCCAAAGATGCAAGATGAAACAYGTTGAGGCAAACTGGAAATTTCAAACTGAAATAAATTCAGATTCCCACTGCTGTCCTTAGGCCCAAGGCAGTTTCAATGTGAATTGAAAGGGAGAAGAATGTTCCACCCCAGCCTTTCAGGCAGTGCACACTGCAAATCACATATTGAGATGAGCAGCTCTCACATCAGCCTATCTTGCTTTAGCCATCAGACACTGATGCCAAATTCCAGCTTTAAGCTCAAATTTCAAACACTCAAGAACGAGGAAGGTTAAATAAATAAAATAAAACTAGCAGAAGATAACCCTCAATTGTTCAAAACGTACAAGAAAACAGCTAACCAGGACATAAGATTAGAATAGGACAAAACTTTGCTGCTGCAACAAGGAACTCACCTCTTCAAAACTGTCAATCATGAAGAATATATTGGGGTAGCTGATCTTTGACTCCTCTCCTTTACTGTCCATTGGGTGTTTGCTCGGAGACGCAAACACTTGCTGAGAAAGATGCAAAAAAAGATACCATTCCTCAGTTAAATGTGCTTGGGAACAGGCACACCAAACACAAAGCAAATMCAAAACATCTTACACTAGAGATGCTGGACATCCTGCAAGCCCAGCTGAGCTGGTTTCTGACTGMAGCCACATTTGCAATAATGGCACTTGAGAAATCCTTGGTTTTCACATGCAAGTAACCAAAAACTCATTGCWCCACAGTAAATGTCCCTGTGTAGCTGACCTCTCAGTATACTACAGTATACTATAGTACAGTGTCCTACTTTCTCATCACCGCTTTCAGCTGCCTTTAAGTTGCTGCAAAGTAAAATGCCACAGTGCAAGAAAGTCACCATGAAGCTGCTGGCCCGACACCTTTCATTTGTTATTGTTTGCTTAGTACCACATAAGATCAACCTCCCTCAGCTAAGGTGAGCAWGGCTATCCTGAGGTGATTTATAATGTTATTGTATTCCAYATCTATCTGCACCCAAAATCAGCTATTTATCTTTATGATCCTACAGCCGCGGACCCTGTGTGTGTAGCGTTTCAGAGATGAGCACAGAGGCAGTTTCCAGGCTCTCAGCTCCGTGGCATTCACTCTGCAGAATCCTTGGTGTTTGTTCAAGCAAAGGCTTTCCTTCCTTTTTTTTTAGCTCTCTCTTCATTTTGTTTTTGTTTTTTCATTCGTCTAGGGGAGGCTGAAGTTAGTGATTTTGCGCTGCCTTGGGGCGAATTCCACCTGTAGGAGCCCTCGCTCCGGTGCAAACCCTTCTAGGAGAGGAGACTAAGGAGAATCTCTCCCTTCCGTGACAGCTTGGGTTTACAACTACTTGTAGCAATTGCATTTCGCAATTAGAAACTGTTTCGGAGTGA